TATTGGTTGATGCCCTGCATTCCATTGTGATGACTCATGTCCAAACGTGGTAAACAAGGCACACTAACACAGTAATACATTTGCTATAACACAGCCAAAAACTCAAATAAAACCATTCTAAAAGCCTGTATTACAATAATTTAAAAAACGCCTAGGGGTATTTGCCCACTGTACCTCCATACCAAATTTCAGGACCTCGGGCCCTAAAATGAAGAAGCTGAATCCATTTAAAACATGGCAGGAGAAGAAGGAGAAGGAGAAGGAGAAGGAGAAGGAGGAGAAGAAACATCAGAAAAAGCAATATGGGTTCACCACCACTTCGTGGTGTGGTGAACCCATAATAATTTCAAACAGGTGCCAGGTTGGAATGACATTGTGAAAGGCCTACATTCTGCTGCTCGGGAGGCTTATGTCCTCCGGAGAGAAATGGGCCGACCACGGTCGGGTCCCTTTTTTATCCTCATGTCCAAAGCCAGGGCAAGATTTAAGCTCGCTCTAAGACAGTGTAAACAACAAGAGAGCAGAGCTAGAGCGGATGCTACTGTTAAAAATTTCTCAGTGGGTAACCGTAGAGAATTTTGGAAAAAAGTTCGTAGTGCTAACTCTCCTTGTACTGTTTTACCAAATACTGTCGATGGATGCTCAGGTTCTGTGAATATTGCTGATCACTGGAGAAAGCATTTTGAGTGTCTCTTAAATTCAGTTGATAACCGGGCTCACAAGCCACCTGTGATGTCTGATATGTCACGTGCATGTGAATTTGATTATGATATGCAAATTACTGTGTTGGAACTTGTTAACATCATAAGGAATTGCCCAATGGGAAGGCTGTTGGCTCTGATGGTATTTGTAATGAACATTTGAAGTATGCGGGCCCAAGAATTTGTATTTATCTTTCATTGTTATTGACATCTGTTATTGTGCACAATCTTATTCCTGATATTTTGTTGGATACCATCATTGTGCCTGTCATTAAGAACAAATCAGGTAATATTTCCAGTAGTGATAACTATAGACCGATTGCCATCACCTCTGCACTTTCCAAGGTCTTGGAGTCGCTGTTACTTAGTCGCCTCAAACCCTTCCTTCAGACATCTGACTACCAGTTTGGATTTAAACCCAAGCATGGTATTGATATGTGTGTTTTTACTCTGAAGGAAATTATTGAATATTACAAGGGACTGGGATCTCCCGTATTCATTTGTTTTATGGACGCCTCCAAGGCCTTTGATCGTGTGAACCACTGGCTCTTGTTTAAAAAGCTTCTTGAAAGGAATGTAATGTTATACCTTGTGAGATTTCTGGTCTATTGGTATGAGAACCAGACCATCTGTGTAAGATGGGGTTCTACTTTGTCAACCCGGTTCACTGTCTCCAATGGGGTACGACAAGGCAGCCTTTTGTCGCCTCATCTATTTAACATCTATATTCATGATCTTAGTCTAAAACTGAAAAATGCCAGAGTTGGCTGTCGCGTCGGCGGTTTTATTGTAAACCATCTGCTGCACGCCGATGATCTGTGTTTGATATGCCCCAGTGTTAAATCCCTTCAGAAACTGTGAACATTTTGGTAAGGTAAATGATATTTTGTTTAATACAAATAAAACTTGTTGTATGTACTTTCCGAGCGCTGGCCTTCCACACCAGCAGCCTCTGCCCGCCGTGAAAATTTATAATGTTGAGTTGAAATATGTGGATTCTTTTGTATATCTTGGTATTCATTTAAATGCGAAGTTAAGTGACAATGACTGTGTTCGAGCTGACATTAGACGCTTATATCGCCATACCAATTGGTATTCATTTAAATGCGAAGTTAAGTGACAATGACTGTGTTCGAGCTGACATTAGACGCTTATATCGCCATACCAATTGTATAAATCGTAAATTCTATCATTGTTCTCCCGTTGTGAAAAAGACTTTGTTTATGACCTACTGTTCTTAGTTGTTTGGAGTCCAGTCATGGAACTCTGTTCATGCGAGTGTACTAGCTAAGTGTCGTGTTGCATACAATAATTACTTTCGTATTCTCCTTAAGTTGCCAAGAGGTTGTAGTGCTAGTTCAATGTTTGTACACCTCTCGACCGATACATTCGATGCTAGACGCGGGAAATTGTGTTATGCTTTCATTAATAGAATATACGCCACCAACAATAGCATTATACGCTGTATATTGAGGTCAGACTGCCAATTCAGGAACACGTATTGTAAAAATGTATATAGATTGTTGTGTGTTTAGTGTCTATGTGGTCCTTGTCTGTACTATGGGTTTTTTTCCTGAAATAAAGTCATTCATTCATAGTAAATTGGTAGAAGTATATAAAGCACCGCCATACTTAATTCAAATCATTTCGGTGTAAAATCTAATAGCCTTTATCAAAAAAAAAATTAAGGGTTTTAGGTAATTGAACCTAAAAATGAAACAGCAAAATACATCCAATCAAATGACAGGAGAGGGATAAGACGGAGAGGATGATGGCACGAAACATAAGTACATAAGGAACAAGTGCTTTCACAAAAAGCTGGCATTTCGGCGCGCTATCAGTGTGATATGTTGTACATATTTCATATGCAACCATGCACCTGCTTGGAAATAACTTTAAAGGTATGCCTCTCTACAATGTACATCTGCTTAAAGATGACTCAATAGTCAGATCATGGATGCCACCAACATCTGCTTGGAGATAACCCTTACATTTATCACCATACGTGTGCTTGGAAATGATTATAGATATGTTCCTTTACATCTACTTTGAGATGATGCCGTACATATGCCACCCTGGACATGAATAGGCTACGGATATGTACATGTAGAGCAGATAGTTTGATTTGAGTTTTGTCTTTAGTGACATTTAAGAAAACAGCAAAATTGTGGTAGAACTTTTACAGATGACAGAAAGAAAGCTGGATATTGTTTTTATATTTGTGAAAACATTTAAGAAAAAAAATGTTGCATTCTGAATTTGAAAAACAAAAATAATTATGCAGAAAAAACAATCTGCACAACATGTTGATTTGTTTCTACTTCTTAGTTAGCCTAATAATCAATAATGTAATTGTATTAATTTTATATCCCTTAAAATTAGCTAAATCGACGATTTAAGATGATTGCGCAATGGGCGTGTCCTATGACCTTCTACCTTTTGGGGGTCATGCAGGCGTCAACATCGCCCTCCCCACGCCTCGCCCGTCCGTTTTCGTGGGCAAATTTCTGCTCTTTATGAGGTTTTGGGACCTGAAAACTTACATCAGAGGAAATATAAACCACATACGTTACGCCAAAAAGCAGTTACTCAAGCAACTGGATATGATTTTGGAAAAAAAATTAATTGTCAGAGCCTATGGTACAGACTGACATAAATATGTTTTAAAATGATTATATATTTTCGAAGAATGGTGACAACACACCTGTCTCGTTTTTACCTCCATGAAATGGAAGGTATTGTTTTTGGCGCGTCTGTGTGTGTGTGTGTGTGTGTGTGTGTTTGTGTTTCCGCTTTTTTGTACCATCATAAGTTCATAACGCCTCAATGGATTGTGGTGATATTTGGTATGCTGGTAGGTGTTAGGGGGCCGAAGGTAAAGGTCAAATATGGGCCTCCTGCTGGATGGCCTTGGTAGTGCAGTAGCACTTCCGGTTTAATGCGGAATCTCCTTTGCAGCCAACAGATGTGTCATTGTGTGGCTATCGAGTCAGTGCGCTTGGGACCCGGTTTGATTAATGGGGTTCCCTCAGGGGAATAGGTGACCTATTTCAGGGTTAGGGTTTGTATTAGCTGCAGGCCTGATTAGCTGTGTGTTTGAAACACTTAGTGTACTGTATACAAAAACTCATATATTTCATGGAGGCGTGTCTGTCTGTGTGTGTGTGTCTGTATTTGTGTGTGTCTGTGTGTTTGTGTTTCCGCACATTTGTAGTCAGCATAACTCCATAACGCCTTTATGGATTGCGATGATATTTGGTACGCTGGTAAGTCTTAGGAAGACAAAGGTCAAGGTCAAATATGGGCCTCCTGGTGGATTACCTTGGTACTGCAGCAGAACTTCCGGTTTTTGTATCTTTTGTCCTAAACATGCTATGGTCTTGACTTTTTGGTGACAGATAGCTTTTTCTGTCAGGAATAAGTGGCGTGAGTTTGGTCCCCCTAGCAGCTTGTTTTGGAACTGCAGGAGATTTTCGGGTGAAATCTTTAAAAGCCAATAAGTCCAGATAGGAACAAGGTATTATCATCATTTTTGGTAGGTAGGTAGCTGAGGGAGAGATGTACATAATTAACTACAAATTATGCAAATGATGACTTAATTTGCATAATTAATGAGGAAATTCTATAATTACAGTGTTTTACATTATAGTACTTTCATACATGTAATGTATGTAATCTATGGCAGATGGAACATCAACAGATACCAATTATGCAAATGATGACCTAATTTGCATAATTAATGCGAAAATTCTATGACTCCTTAGTGGTAAATGATGGGAATTTCATAGTTGGTACATGTGTAAGTTAATCAAAAGTTAACATCACGATGCATTTATTATGTTAATGTGGAGGTAATTTACATAATTAAAGAAGAAATTTACATTTACACGTCAAGCCCATATTTCATGGAGGTATGAGATCTCGGAACTCTTGTTTGTTTTGTTCGATTGTTTTTACTGAAAATATGATGTTATGTTATCTACACTCTTAAACGGATAATGTTCTTCTCTCTGGAGTACTAAACACACGTCACAATACCTTACAGCGCATATGGATTTCTCTCTTGTACCTGACCCTTACTGTAACGTGTAGTCCCAAATGATTGATAAAACCTCAACATGAACCGTTATCAACCCAAAAAGCTTATAGACAAAAAGTCCTACGTTCCTGTTTTAAGTTTAGAAGGTGCTTTCAGACTGTAAGACAAGCTCAATCGCTTCATGGGATGGGTGTCCCTCAATGGCATAAAGCTCTGTGCTTACAGGTAACTTTTTTTCAATATGTTTTTATTTATTTCAGAAAGATCCGGTAATCAAACCGTTTTTTCTTCATTGATGTAATAGACCTGTAGCATCTATACAATGGACAAACATGGACTGCACACTCCACAGCGTCGAAAGACTTTTCATGATAATATACAGATGCTCATTTCGCAGTATGGTAAGTTTGATTTTTAATGAGTTAGTTCGCTTTATTCTTTTTATGTTATCCCGCTTTTAAATACCTTCTCACTTATACTTACTTACTTACTAACATGTTTACTTACACATCCATGTGCTTAACAGATGCTTCATTCCGCATCATAAAACGGCTTCTGATGCACATGGTTTATGACGTAGAGAACCAGAATGCTTTTCTCCTGGACCAAGAAGAAACGGTCCTGGAACCTCGCAAAGAAGGTTGTTTTTTGTAGCAACTCTGTGTGTGTGTTTGTGTGTAAACAAGTGATAATTTGACAAGGCTTAATTAAGTGTATCGTTTTGGTTTTTGTAGTTGGGTAGGTCTTTACGAGAAAGTCTCGAAACGATTGTTACCGGAGGTATTGTTTTTGGCGTGTCTGTGTGTGGGCCTGTGAGTGTGTGTTTGCATGTCTGTCTGTGTATATTTCCACAACTTTGCAGTCAGCATAACTTCAGAACGCGCTTTAGGGACAGTAATGATATTTGGTATGTTGGTCAGTCTTGGGAAGACAAAGGTCACAGGTTTTCCTGTCAGAAAAAAAATGGTGTGGGTTTGGTCTCCCTAGCAGCTTATTGTGGAACTGCAGTTGATTTTCTGTCAAAATCTTTTAGAGCCAACAAGTCCACCAACAAGTCCACCTAATTTGCATGAGGCTAACATCACTATGCATATTATATGCTTATTTGTAGATAATTTGCATATTAATACATGTTGAAAAGTATTGACAAATGAGAAGAATTTCACACGCAAGACATTGTGAGTTGAATTAAGAAAACAATAAATTTGACAAAAATTCGGAGATCTCATACCTCCATGAAATACAACTTTTTGTAAATGTTTTTAATGTCTCATTGACAATGGAAATAAGGTCGTAATTAGCATAATCTAGTTTAATTTCTGGTTTTCTAAATTAAAATGACAACATTTTTGGTGTAAAATTCCTCTCCTTTGTCATACTTTATTTCAACATGTCCTCATTAATTATTCAAATAAACTCCACATAATATATGTATAGCGGTGTTATCCTTTAAGTAACTTCCACATGTCAGTAACTTACACTTGTAACAAGGTATAAAATTCACCAATAAGGAGTCATAGAATTTTACATTAATTGTGCAAATTAGGTCATCATTTGCATAATTGGTATCTGTTGATGTTCCGCCTGCCATAGATTAAATAGATTAGATGTACACAAGTACTATTATATAAAACACTGTAATTATAGCATGTCCTCCTTGATTATGCAAATTTAGTACTCATTTGCATAATTTGCATTTATTATGTACAGCTCCCTCTCAGCTACTTACTTACCAAAAATGATGAAAATACGTAGTTCCCTAGCTGTAGTTATTGGCTTTTAAACTTTTTGCCAGAAAGTCTCCTGCAGTTCCAGAACAAGCTGCTGGGGGGACCAAACCCACACCACTTATTCCTGACAGAAAAATCTATCTGTCACCGAAAAGTCAAGACCATAGCTTGTTCAGGACAAAAGATACAAAAACCGGAAGTTATGCTGCAGTACCAAGGTCATCCACCAGGAGGCCCATATTTGACCTTGACCTTCGTCTTTTTAAGACTTGCGAGCATACTAAATCACAATCCGTAAAGGCGTTATGAAGTTATGCTGACTACAAATGTGCGGAAACACACAAAAACACAGACGCACCAAAAACAATAACTCCATTTTCATGGAGGTAGCTAGATTGTGGTAATTACAGCCTTATTTCTCTGTAAAAACATTTACAAAACTTATATTTCCTGTAGGTATGAGATCTCCGAATTCTTGTTTTTTTTGTCTGCTTGTGGCTTGTTGCTTGTTATACTACTGTTTTTTTTAAAAATCTTATTACGAGAAAACTCCAGAACCCATGGCCTTGGAAACCAGTCAGCTATTTTTTTCTCGGCCATTATCTAGTATACATATATCCATTTTTATATTTCAGTCCATACCATGGTATGGATGAAATATATTGTGTTCCCTCATGTTTCTCCTCCTCCTTCTCCTTCTTCTTCTCCTGCCAAACAGTCAAAGGGATTCAACTCCGCCACCATTCAGCCAAGTGACCTCAAATTTGGCATGGAGGTAGAGTGGGCAAATACCCCCAGACGTTTTTTTTTCATTTTTTTGAAACATGCCTTTGAAAAATTTTTATGAAGGTTTTTTGGGGCATTTTTCGCCAAAAAAATGGATTTTTGGATCCTGAGCCCTGGTATTACAACCAAATGATATGACATTCGGTATAAGGGTACCTTGAACGTGTGTCTACAGAATAGCAGTCATGTATTTGGCATACAGCACTTCCAAATGACTCATTTGGGGACTTTAATGGCTACTTTCAGCAAAAAAAGGGCCAAAAGTGCCATACCCGTTCCATGTTCTATCTAAAGAATGGCCGGTTCCATCCATGGAACACGTGTTCCATTGCGGGTTACCTGAGGTCACATTGCACCTAAGTGGTGCGTAATAACCTACACATTCAATTTTATGTGCCTAAGACCTTCAAAATGTATCAAATCTCATCATTGTTAGTTTTTGCATACCTGTAATAAGATTAGTAAAGCTTTCGAGATTCAAAGTACTTGTTGTTGCATCTTTGTTCTCATATAGCTACTATCTAATTCATTTATTTGAGAACCTTTGCCAGTTTTGCACTGGGGTAAGTTTGGAATAGTCCACTTTTGCGTGGGAGGGAGATGGACTGAAATATGCTGTATTTGCTCCCAAGCAAATGTCGGCCTTTCTAGTCTCCATTTCCTTTAAGACAATTTTAAATTGACACGAGTAAGAACATTAGCCTGGGTACCATCCTACTTGTATACCGGGGCTCCCACACTCGCTTCCCTTAGAAGTACTTCTTAGGGAAGCGAGTGTGGGAGCCCCGGTACACAAGTAGGATGGTACCCAGGCTATAAGAACATGTGTCTCGTTTGAGCTTTCGGCGAAAACTAATTTTCCCTCTCTCGTACAATTTCCAGACGCTCAAAATAATGATGACGTCATCTTTCTGTTTGAGAGACAGTCAGCCGTCGGGGAAGACCACACTGACGAGGTAGCACGCACTTGTAAGTTACAATTCTTTTAATACTCTTCTCACCGACATGTTAATATCGCAATTTGTATCTAAATCCCCCACCATCTCTAATAAGTTGCACGGAAACGGTAAATATTACAACACAAGGCAGAGAGAACTTTAAAAAAATTACATTAACTTTTAGTTTCAAGATAATGAATGGATTTTAATGAAATGTTAGTGTTTATAGGTTCATTTTAACCCTCAAACACCCGAACGGGGTCCATTTGGACCCCAGACGTATTTTTTATGTGCTATTTGAATTTTTTTTCTAAAATTAATTCCTCCCGTGACTTTGTCAGTAAACCTCTTCTGCAAGTTCTCCTAAATTTTTTTGGAGATCGGCACAAATTTGTAAAAAAAAAAATAACAACGTCTCAATATGTCTTCAAGGAAGCATTGTTGCTTTAATATTATGCAGTTTGCCAAGTAACCTCCACCTCAGGAATTATTTCATCAGGTCAAGTCAAGTCAAGTCAAGTCAAAGCCTTTATTTTCCTTCGAATGCTTGTTCGGCGCAAGGCCGCTTTTCAACAAGGTCGAAGTTGAGGGGAGGGGTCACGGATAAGAACCAAATCCATACAAACATAAATAATAAGTAATTAAATCAATACAATAAGTAAATGAATAAGTTCACAAATAAATCATTAGGTTCGTAGCCAATTCAAGTCCATGGTGAGTCCCAGTTATGTCTGTTCCATAAGTGACTTGAAGGTATGGATGGATGGTGCTGCCCTAATGTGGGGCTGGATGTTATTCCATACCACTGAGCCGGAGTAAGCCAAGCTTCTTCTGTAAGCTTCCAAGTGCGGCCTCGGAGGGATGAGACAGTCAGTAGAAGCTGATCTGGTATTCCGTGCCACTTCATCCCTTCTCAGGCTGAAGGCTCGTCTCATGTATGGTGGTAGTGCATTTCTCAAGGCCTTATACACCAGCAGAGCTTTTTGCTGTTGATGTATAGTCTTCACAGTCTTCCAACCAAGGCGCGATAGGATTTCTACTGATGGTGTTCTATATGGAGCTTTCAGAATAAGTTTTCCCACTCGGTTTTGGATTCTTTGCAGCTTGTCGTACTGCACCAAAATCGCTCCATCCCATACTGTGCATGCATAAGTTAAGTGTGGTAAGAAAATTGAATTATATAAAGTGACAAGAGCAGCCTGATTTACAAATGGTTGGACCTGGCGCATTACTGCAAGTGTTCGTTTCAATCGTTCGAGTGTTCGTTTCCTCAGGTTTTCAGAGGTTTGACAATTTGAAAATCATATGAGGTCAAAGGTCAACCCCATGTTTATGCCTGCAGGTCTCATCCTATTTTGCATAAATTATGATAATGAGCTGGAATTTTTAACACTTAATCATGCCAAAATACACGTCTTAATATTTTAACCTATACATGTGTAAAGGTCACCGAAAGGATGCAAAAAGGAATGTAAATTTGAAAGAAACCAAATGGGGTCCATTTGGACCCCGTTCGGGCATTAACGTCACAAAAAAAGTTCGGGTGTTTGAGGGTTAAGTGACCCATATCCTAATTAAGTCATTTAAGGCTTCAATTGCATGTGTTGTGACATCTGGAGACAACTGTAAGAAAAGCTATCTGTCACCGAAAAGTCAAGACCATAGCATGTTCAGGACAAAAGATACAAAAAACCTGAAGTTCTGCTGCAGTACCAAGTTCATTCAATAGGAGGTCCATATTTGACCTTGGTCTTTTTAAGACTTGCGAGCATACTAAATCACAATCCATAAAGGCGTTATGAAGTTATGCTGACTACAAATGTGCGGAAACACACAAAAACACAGACGCACCAAAAACAATAACTCCATTTTCATGGAGGTAGCTAGATTGTGTAAAACATTTACAAAACTTATATTTCCTGTATGTATGAGATCTCCGAATTCTTGTTTTGTGTCTTGTTTGAGCTTTCGGCGAAAAACTAATTTTTCCTCTCTCGTACAATTTCCAGACGCTCAAAATGATGATGACGTCATCTTTCTGTTTGAGAGACAGTCAGCCGTCGGGGAAGACCACACTGACGAGGTAGCACGCACTTGTAAGTTACAATTCTCCTAATACCCTTGTCACCGACATGTTAATATCGCAATTTGTATCTAAATCCCCCACCATCTCTAATAAGTTGCACGGAAACGGTAAAGATTACAACACAAGGCAGAGAGAACTTTAAAAAAATACCTTAACTTCTAGTTTCAAGATAATGAATCGATTTTAATGAAATGTCAGTGTTTTGTGACCCATATTCTAATTAAGTAATTTAAGGCTGGAATTGCATGTGTGTGTACACATGCAACGTACCGGACATCTGGAGACAACTGACCATCTTCGCCTCTGCCTTGTCCCTCTAACGACCAGGAGGTCAAGGGACAAGGTAAATGTATATGTTGCAAAAAAAAATCATCATAACTATAATTATCATGTTTAACCCCTGTCTAGACTGGGCATGTTTGGGGGATTCATTGGACATTAAATTTGGCGTGGGCATTTTTAGCCTTCGCCCCAGTCTAGGTAGGGTTTAATGCTCTAATCGTGAAACAAACATCTCTCTCCTTCATTTGGTCGTTTAACAATTAGCTCGCTTCCTCTCTAATACAGTATCAGATCAACATGCCGAAGATGACGTCATCTTCCTGTTTGAAAGGAGACCAGCCGTTGAGGAACCCCGTCCACGTCCGCCCCCCTGTGCCCGTATGCGGACGGGTAAACATTAAAAATCTAACGATACAATAAAGTATTGAAACTTGTTCTATCCTGTGTCCATATCTAAAACTAGAGTTCGAAGGGCTCATGCCTTCGACAGTGTGATATTGTTTTGGTGGGTGTTGTGTGTATGTATAGTGTAGGCTTTTTGAAGATGATTATAGTAGTTATAGTGGTCAGAGAGTCTTTTTGTGAACGAAGCGACATACTATTTACCTAGCCTGTACCATGTCTTTCTACAGAAATACGGAATGTATAATTCGTCATTTGGTACAGGGGTGCCTTGAGCATCTGCTCAAAGAATGACATTTGTTACTTTGGCATACATCACTTGAAAATGGTGTGAAACAGGTCTTTTCTGCTATTTTCAGACAAAAAATGCACATTTTTGGCTCCTGTGACCTAATATTACAACCAAATGACCTAAAATTTGGTATAGGAGTGCCTTTGACGAATGCCAAAAGAACTATATTCACATTTTTGGTAAACACTACTTTGAATTTGTGTAAAAAAGGTTTTTTTTGCTCTTTCCAGACAAAATGCTTTTACAGTACAGATCGCGGGATAAGAATAATCGGGATTCGGGATTTTGTGGGATATCCTTCGGGAGTTTGCGGGATCTCCCGCGGTATTCTTTCGGGAGGCCTGTCGTGTCCCGCGTGCCGCGTAGCGAAAAAACTTGGTGCGAGTCCCCGAGGTCTACCGCGGCTCCGAACGCCGATGGCGGCGTACCAAATGTTTATTTTTACGTCCTGCCGGGCGAGCTGTGCCGGGCCGATGGAGTCTGACACCAGTTAACTTTGCTACAGTTTTTATTTAATAGTGGTGAAGCACTGGAATGTCCGAATATAATGTATATAATGTGTTTCTCACGCAGTCATAGTTATATTTCAGTCCATACCATGGTATGGATGAAATATATTGTGTTCTCTGATGTTTCTTCTTCTCCTCCTTCTTCTCCTTCTTCTGCCACACAGTCAAAGGGATTCAACTCCGCCATCATTCAGCCAAATGACTTGAAATTTGGCATGGAGGTAGAGTGGGCCAATACCCCCAGGCTTTTTTTCATTTTTTTGATACATGCCTTTGAAAAATTTTTATGAAGGTTTTTTGGGGCATTTTTCGCCAAAAAAATGGATTTTTGGATCCTGATCCCTGGTTTTACAACCAAATGATCTGAAATTCGGTAGAAATAAAGAATATAACTTCCCCTTTCCTGTGGTGTATTTATTTAGGTTGTAAAATGTTGCAAACGCCAGAAATTTGCGGATGAAAACGGCGCGTCGTGAGCCGATCGCCCGAAACGCGGCCATTTTCTTTCTCTCGCTATTGCGAAATCACCCTGACTTTAGTGCGCTTGCGCCTCGCCGTCATAGACCGCATCAGAATGAAAATAGCCCCATTCGAAAGCGCAGATTCCGAGCTTAAAAATGGTGCCAGGAACATCGGGAAAATTTTATTTTCGGGGGGCTAAACGTCCATTTTTAACGATTTGTCGATCTTTAAACATCAATTTGACCACCTAAATTTCATTTTCCCATTTTGTCACCAGTGTCAAAATGACGGCAAAAAAAACAGGGCTTTCCGCTGATGTAATAGGTAGTTTTCTCGAATGCACCCTGGCAAAGCGCAACGCTAGATTTACTGATGAAGTCATGGTAAACAGAGCGCTGCCGCGGGAAATACGGCCCGCTCGGGCGCCCGGGCGTTCGTCAGGAACAGCAAATACGTGAATGGAGCGGCACAAATACGCCCTATTTGACGCTATGGAGCAAGAATTTCCAGGTAAAATATGTTTTTGTGTATTTTGAG